TAGAAATCAAGGACAAAAAGGAAATAAGCAAACATTCATTCCATAGCTGATGCACATTGTAAGAAATGATTTGTGGTTAAATTCAGCATCACCTCCAATATAAATTTGTTAAGAGAGAAAGAACAGGAGGGCGGACATTTCTAAATAAACTGCTCAGCTGCACTTGCAAAATGCAGCCCCCAGGCCTTGGGGTGGGGGTGGGTGGGGGTGGGTATGCCTCTACCTCCTTAGCTCAAACCCCTGGTGGGGGCTGAAATAAAAAAAAAAAGGTCTTATATATATAATAAATGTACCAAGCAAACACGTACATAAATATATACACCACATGTCTAAAGCTACACAGGAAAACAACCATGAAACCATTTTGGCTCCCAAACTGACCAAATGTTTTCTCTGCAAAGTCAAAGGAAAATGGAAAAGCCTCCCCATTGTCTTTTCCTTCCCAAATCCTGTCTTAAGGGTATGTCTGTGTATGAATAGGGTGAGCCTGTGGCCTGGCTCAGGAACTAAGTATTTATCATTACAAAAGACTGGCCAGGCTCCCCAGGGCATCCAATCAAGTGACCATTAACAGGTAACCTGCCAGGCAGGAGGTAAACAATGCACTCGGATTTCTGTTGTTGACCGCCTTTTCTTTGATGTAGGTATGATGTTTCTGGGGGTGGTCTTGGACTCCAGGGCGGGCAATTTAAAATGTCTATATAAGGGCGGGCCCCCCTGGTTCTGGGTGGTCCTCCTTTCCTGCGTGAGAGGGGAGCACCCTTTTGCAACAGTTTCAATAGAGATCAGGCTTACCAGCTGCTTTACTTCTCAATATTCTCTGGTTGGTCTCTGTTATTTTCCCCGACCGATGGAGAACCTGCAAAGGACTCTATGAGGGCTCTTGTGTCCCCCATAAGGGAATCAGGGCAGATTTTTGTTTATTACAGGGCCTTGCTTTCAACTCAAAAGTTTTTAAAGGCACCAGGACCACCAGCCCACATTCTCATTGATGCTTTGTTGTTGTTTAGTTGTTTAGTCGCGTCCGATTCTTCGTGATCCCCTGGACCAGAGCACACCAGGCCCTCCTGCCTTCCACTGCCTCCCGCAGTTTGGTCAAACTCATGCTGGTAGCTTCGCAAACACTATCCAGCCATCTCGTCCTCTGTCGTCCCCTTCTCCTTGCGCCCTCCATCTTTCCCAACATCGGGGTCTTTTCTAGGGAGTCTTCTCTTCTCATGAGGTGGCCAATGTATTGGAGCCTCAGCTTCAGGATCTGTCCTTCCAGTGAGCACTCAGGGCTGATTTCCTTCAGAATGGAGAGGTCTGATCTTCTTGCAGTCCATGGGACTCTCAAGAGTCTCCTCCAGCACCAGAATTCAAAAGCATCAATTCTTCGGCGATCAGCCTTCTTTATAGTCCAGCTTTCACTCCCATACATCACTACTGGGAAAACTCATTGATGCTACTAAGGTGAAATATGGGGCTCCCTTGCCCACAGCACCCTGAAACTCCCGCCTGCTCCTCCCACCCTCTCAAAGAGGGTCCCAGACACAGGAAGCCGGCTCTGGGCTTCTTCCGGCTGCGCAGGAAATGAGAGAACTGCATGCCGCTGACATTCCTGAGCTTTGGAGACCTTTCCTCCGGCTCCTGCTTCCTCTCGGCTCATCCCTCTGGTCTGGGCTTCCAGTTGCCACCATCCTCCCCGTCTCCCCCCTTTCCCCAGCCCTGGCCTGGGGGCCGAGGCAAAAGCTGCCTCTGCTCTCCACCTGGCAACGTTCGCCAGAGCCCTCTGCGCTAATGCGAAAGCTATTTGAGTCGGGAGCGGAAAAGCGGCTTGGTTTTTTTTTGAAAAGCGCTCTTCTGTTCCAGTTAGCTGTTCCCCGGGACATGCTTAGCTTTGAAATTTCTCACTTGGCTGCCGGCCAGACAGAAATCCAGACAAACTGGGAGTTGTGGTGGAGAGATGATGGGGTGGCGGTGGTGGGGGAACGGGACAGTTTCTGAGCTGGCTGAGTGCAAGCAGCCGAGGCAGAGAGACTTTGCTTTTAGAATGGAGATCTCCCCCTCTGTACCTCACCCCATCTTTCCCCCCTAAACTTGTGAGCCACAAGGGCTTCAGAAACCACCTGTGTCCTCCTCCAGGTGTGGAGACCCTGGGCAAGCCCTGAATTCCCTTCGGCCAATGAGGGATCGGTGATGTCATCCCAAGGAGAGGATACCTTGGGGATTCCCTGAGCTGGCCTGCACTGCTGACAGGGGTGGGGGAATCCTTGAAACACCAGCCCAACCCTCCAGGCACCCCACCCCCCGCCCTGACCAGTGAGACAAACAGGACATCAGGGGGCGCTATTAATCTCAAGTGATACTCTGACAATAGTTGTCAACCGTCCCGTATTTGGTGGGAAAGTCCCTTATCCCAGCGCTGTGTCCGGCTGCTGTCCCTTATTGATGATGTCCCTTAAATTTCCCGGGTTTCAAAGGAAGCAGCTCCTCTCCCTCCCTCCCTGCCGGCCAGGGAGGAGGGAGGCTCCAACTGTGTTGCTTGGCTGCGTTGCTCATCCAAAAAGGAGTCTAAGAACGACTGGGGGGTGGAGCTTGCATGCCTTGTGCCGATCAAATCGGCCGCGTTGCTTGGGGACTCACTTTTGCTCAGCGCTTCCCAGCGGAGAGGTGACGGTGGTTTTCCTTGCTGCATCCCCTTTGCCGGGTTGCTGCGCTGTGGGAACCACCGCTTGAGGCTTCGTTTGGCTGCTGGCTGGGCTTTCTGCCTTTGGCTCAGAGGGGCTCAGAAGTTGAAGATACCTGTGTTCAGAAAATCCCTTATTTTGGCTGCTGATCCCTTATTTTCGAGGCTGCTGATCCCTTATTTTCAAATCTGTAAGTTGACAGCTATGACTCTGACCCATTAACCTCCGCTGCCATGCGTAATACCTTCAGGAGAGGAAAAGGAGTAAACTACACAAATCCAGAGCGGAGTCCCTAAGGCGGTTGGATGGTGCCTTGTACGCCAGCTTCCAGCAGGTCCTGCAGCCAAGCTGGTGCCAAACGTCCTGCTCTGCTTTCCTTGGGACCACATCAGTGGGGCCGAGAGAGGGGTCTGGTCTTCTGGGCTGCCCAGGACCTCCATGCACACTGCCCAGGCTTGCGCCCCGGGGAGCTCACTTGGATAGCTGCTAATGCAGTGATTTGACTTCACCCCCGGAGGCGCACTCCATTGCCTCTCGAGACAGACAGATGCCAACGGCTGTAGTGGCAGCGAGGGCAAGTCATTGTTTCGGAGACCTTACACCAGAGGTTGTCAAACTAAGGCCCGCGGGTCAGATACGGCCCACCAGGCTCGTTAATCCGGCCCGTGAACCTTGCGACCCTGCAGCCCGCTCTGTCAGTCCCCGCGCTAAACAGGCGCAGCACAGAGACTGACTTCCGTGACGCAGCACAGCTTCTGATTTCAGCCAATCAAAAGCCGCAGATGCCTCTGGGCGGGCAGCGACGCTGGCACGGCTTCTGATTGGCTGCAGGAAGCCTCTGGGCGCCGCCCCTACCTTCCCGCTGAGGCGGCTGGTTTTGTACTTTTCTCAGAAGATTGATAAAGAATGTATAATTATTTTGGTAATTGTGTGTATATTAGTCGCCAACGTGTTGCATGAGTCGTACTACTATCAGCAGCACAGGTGGCATTTTTCTAGCATTATTGTATTACACCATGGGTAGGCAACCTAAGGCCCGGGGGCCGGATCCGGGCCAATCACCTCCTCAATCCAGCCCATGAACGGTCTGGGAATCAGTGTGTTTTTACATGAGTAGAATGTGTCCTTTATTTAAAATGCATCTCTGGGTTATTTGTGGGGCATAGGAATTCATTCATTTTCCCCCACAAAATATAAACTGGCCCCCCACAAGGTCTGAGGGACAGTAGATTGGACCCCTGCTGAAAAAGTTTGCTGACCCCTGCCTTACACCTTTCAGGGTAGCCTTCTTCTTGGCCTGATGCTCTTCAGCTGTTTTGGGCTACAACTCCCATCAGGCTGCTGGCTGGGGCTGATGGGATTTGTAGTCGAAAGCACTGCCCCCCCCACCGAGTTGCCTAGAGCAGCAAAGTTGGGCGTGTCTTTGCATTTAGTCAAGTTCAGCTGGCAGGCTTTGCTGCGAGGTAAAACAACCCTGTTAGGTAGTCCAGCAGATGAGGAAGAGGGGGAGATGGAGGGAAATGGTTCCTGTCTCAAGACCACATGGATTGCCTGTAGGTGGGGCTGAGGTGAGACTTGAACTGGAGGATTTATTGTGATACAGCTGTCCTTGTGACAGGCTCCATGGGAGACCGGTGACATTCCTCTGCTCTCCCCTCCCCCCCCCCCCCAATCACGTATATAAATTTTTATTAATTTTTTCTAATTTACATTTCAAAATATTTCATTTAAACCTCAAATCAGTGACTTCTCTTTCTGTGGAACATACCCTGTATGGTATGTTCATTTTACATACCATAAGGTAAAGGGACCCCTGACCGTTAGGTCCAGTCATGGCCGACTCTGGGGTTGCGGCGCTCATCTCGCTTTACTGACCGAGGGAGCCGGCGTACAGCTTCCGGGTCATGTGGCCAGCATGACTAAGCCGCTTCTGGCGAACCAGAGCAGCACACGGAAACGCCGTTTACCTTCCCGCCAGAGCGGTGCCTATCTACTTGCACTTTGACGTGCTTTCGAACTGCTAGGTTGGCAGGAGCAGGGACGGAGAACCGGGAGCTCACCCCGTCGCGGCGATTCGAACCGCTGACCTTCTGATCAGCAAGTCCTAGGCTCTGTGGTTTAACCCACAGCACCACCCACGTCCCTTTACATACCATACATCCGTGCATATTTTACATGAACTAAACCATTCAGTAATCCATTGTTGCATCCATCAAAACTTATTTACACTGTTGAATTTATCTTAATGCTTTTTTATTGTCTTGCAATGGGGGGGGCACTCCTCGATAGCTTTTGACCAGCCCCTGCCACCTTCTCTCCCCACAACCCCAGGTAAAGAGACCATGCTGCGGCAGAAGGACTACGAGACGGCCACCCTGTCGGATATCAAGGCCCTGATCCGGAAGCACGAGGCTTTTGAGAGCGATCTGGCGGCTCACCAGGATCGTGTGGAGCAGATAGCGGCCATCGCGCAGGAGCTCAAGTATGCTGTTCCCCAGGCCTCCCCCCCCACCCCTGGCAAAAGCAGCTCTCTTTCTGGGGGCACCTCCACCCAGGCTATGCCAATGAGCACACATAATATTGTGACTGGGGGCACCGTCGCATCTATGACCGGCTTGTGGGCTTCTTCCCATTGGGGCATCTGTTTGGCCACTGTGAGAACAGGAATACTGGGCTGGATGGGCCCTTGGCCTGGTCCACCTGCCAGGTTCTTCTGTTCTGAACTTGGCCTTGAATTCCAGCCAGTTAAATAAATATAAATACCGTATTTTTTGCTCTATAAGACTCACTTTTTCCCTCCTAAAAAGTAAGGGGAAATGTGTGTGCGTCTTATGGAGCGAATGCAGGCTGTGCAGCTATCCCAGAAGCCAGAACAGCAAGAGGGATTGCTGCTTTCACTGCGCAGCGATCCCTCTTGCTGTTCTGGCTTCTGAGATTCAGAATTTTTTTCTTTCTTGTTTTCCTCCTCCAAAAACTAGGTGCGTCTTGTGGTCTGGTGCGTCTTATAGAGCGAAAAATACGGTAATTTTTTATTTAAACCCCGCCCTTCCCAGTTCAAAAACCGGGCTAAGAGCAGCTAACAACAAATTTAAAACACACCGTATTTTTCGCTCTTTAAGACGCACCCGACCATAAGACACACCTAGTTTTAGAGAACAAGAAAAAAATATTCTCTTCCTCTCTGCGCAGCGCCCCTTCAGCGAAGCGGCAGGAGAAACGGAGCCCCTTCCATTTCTCCTCCCGCTTCACTGAAGGGGCGCTGCGCAGAGAGGGAAAGCTGCGCAGCACCTCTCCAGCGAAGCGAAGCCAGGAGAGCAAGAGGGATTGGTGCGCACCGATCCCTCTTGCTCTTCTGGCTTCAGCAAAACCTGCGCAGCCTGCATTCGCTCCATAAGATGCACACACATTTCCTCTTACTTTTTAGGAGGGGGAAAGTGTGTCTTATAGAGCGAAAAATACGGTAATTGTAAAAGCAGCATAAAATACAGTATTAAAAATACAGTTCTAGGGCAGGTGTTCTTCAAACTCAGGCCCCAGGCCAGGAAGAACAGCTAAGAGCAGTTCAGCAGTGGAACGGACCACTTTGCAAGATGGCACTGTCCTTCATTGGAGGTTTATTACGCAAGAGTTTGGACGGACATCTGTCAGGGGTTCTTTACCTGCAGTTCCCGCATTGCAGGGGGTTCGACTAGGAGACGCTTGGGGTCCCTTCCAGCTCTGTGGTTCTGCATCGGTGGACTACAACTCCCATCATCCACAGCCATCTTAGATCAGAGACCAAGGGTGATGGGAGTTGCCGTCCACCCACATCTGGGAACCCAAAGCTGAATGAAACCACGATGCTCGGAGCAGCCTCCTTGCTGAAACTATCAGACTGCCGCTCTAAAGCCAGGACACTTGTGGCTTCCTCCTGAGCCAGTCCTCTGGCCCCCTCGAGCCCAGACAGTAAAAATCCCAATTTCAGTCACTCTGGGCTGTGTGTGTGTGTGTGTGCGCGCACATGCACATTTATGCCGTAAGATTTTCCTGCATCCTGTGTAAAGGAAATATCAGCAGCCTCCGGGCCCTTTAGAAAGCTTCCCAGCAGCCATTCCCTCGCACCGCCCAGGCCCACTTGTGTGTGTGTGTGTGTGTGTGACTCGAACCGTCTTGCAGCAAGGGGGCCGACACAAAGAGACACTGTGATATTTCTGGCAGGTCGAAAATAGCAACCTCGCCGCCCCTTTTCCTTTCCGTTTGTCACTGAGAATCCCTTTCCAATGCGTCTTTGGCTCCTGCACAGAAACGGCTGGGATCACCTCTCCTTTTGGAAAGAGTTGCTAAAAGAGTGTTCTCTTCCACTTGCGCGCACACACAAACACACGCACACACACACACACACACACACACACACACGAGAGAGAGAGAGACACAGTGCCCCTATTGTTCTCCTTCCCTCCTCCCTTTGTGTGACACCAGAATGTGCTTATTGTAAGAGTTTGCTGCAAACTTCTTCGTCCTGCCCCCCCCAACCCCTTCTCCCTGCCCACCCCCCCAAACTCGGATAAACTCGCGCACAATTAGTACACACACAGGCGAGAGGCATGAATAGCGGCTCTTATTCCCGTGGCTGGGAATGGCAGGGAACTTGGAAACATGGATGTGTGTGGCCCGGCGGCATGGCTTCGTGGGGGAGAGGACACACACACAAACGCCTCTCTTGCAAAAAAAAAAAAAGCACCTTGAAATAGCGAAAGCGCCATTTGAAGGCCGCCGAAGCCTTTTCACCCTCCATCTGTTGCTTCGGGAGTCGCTAGGCAATAAATACCCTTCTCTCCCACCCCCTCGTCATGAGTTAGACACGGATCTGAGGTTAGGGGTGTTCTGCCTGAAACCAGGCACCCTGTTTCCCCCGCATGTCTTGTTGCTGTGGCTCCGCTGGCCCCTTCCCAAGGTATTTCGCTTGGCAAACCTCCCGGCTTTTCTTTCTCCATCCCAAACGTGTAGCGACATGCAGCCTTCCAGAGGAGCTCTGCTAAAAACTTTGCATTCAGGCTGGGGGGGGGGAGATGTTGGCTGGGAACGTGCCGCTGTTGGGGCTGGGCGCTGGGCTCTCTGGGCCGGGCCACCCCACCCCGCCCCCCTGAGACTTTGGGGGAGAGCTCCCAACCCGTCCGCCTGGTGGGCAGAGAGCCTTGAAAGGGGGAACAGCACCCTCTGGTGCCCGAGAGCTGCCACTGTGTTGGTTGCGCAGCAGCCGGGCTCAGGGAGAAAATAAATGCATGGCGTCTCTCGCACCCAGTTGCTGCTTTCCTGCATATTTCTGTGGCTCAAACCCACAACCCTGAGATTGAGAATCTCATGCTCTGCAAACGGAGCTATTTTTTCCAATAATTAGAAGACCATAAAAGGTAAAGGTACCCCTGCCCGTACGGGCCAGTCTTGACAGACTCTAGGGTTGTGCGCCCATCTCACTCTAGAGGCCAGGGGCCAGTGCTGTCTGGAGACACTTCCGGGTCACGTGGCCAGCGTGACAAGCTGCATCTGGCGAGCCAGCGCAGCACACGGAACGCCGTTTACCTTCCCGCCAGTAAGCGGTCCCTATTTATCTACTTGCACCCGGGGGTGCTTTCGAACTGCTAGGTTGGCAGGCACTGGGACCGAGCAACGGGAGCGCACCCCGCCGCGGGGATTCGAACCGCCAACCTTTCGATCGGCAAGCCCTAGGCGCTGAGGCTTTTACCCACAGCGCCACCCACGTCCCAATAGAAGACCATAGGTGTGCTCTAAGCAGAGATCACGACCTCTGCAACAAGAGAGCCTTAAGAATATACCGTATTTTTCGCTCTATAAGACACATCAGACCACAAGGCGCACCTAGTTTTTGGAGGAGGAAAACAAGAAAAAAAATATTCTGCATCTCAGAAGCCAGAACAGCAAGAGGGATCGCTGCGCAGCGAAAGCAGCAATCCCTCTTGCTGTTCTGGCTTCTGGGATAGCTGCGCAGCCTGCATTCGCTCCATAAGACGCACACACATTTCCCCTTACTTTTTAGGAGGGAAAAAGTGAGTCTTATAGAGCAAAAAATGCGGTAATTTCTCCTTCTTTTCTCCCAAGGTGTTTGGCCCATTGTGATTGCATGAAGGCCATGGGGGGGAAGAGAGCTTAGCCCCCTGGCCTGGCCCCAAGTAATGCCCCCTTTCTCTCTGCCCCGCAGCGAGTTGGACTACTACGACTCGCCCAGTGTCAACACCCGGTGCCAGAAGATCTGTGACCAGTGGGACTCGCTAGGATCCTTGACCCACACACGGAGGGAAGCCTTGGAGGTGAGCCGGGAGGCTCCTGCAGCTTGCCCTGACCTTCAGCCGGGGGCAGTGGGGAGAGTCGGCGCTGCGTCACGGGACCCGATCACCTGACCCATTTCTCTCCTGCACAGAAAACAGAGAAGCAGCTGGAGACCATTGACCAGCTCCACCTGGAATATGCCAAGCGGGCAGCGCCCTTCAACAACTGGATGGAGAGTGCCATGGAGGACCTGCAGGACATGTTCATCGTCCACACCATCGAGGAGATCGAGGTAGGAGGAGGGGGTGGAAGGCCACCAGGCGCAATTCAGTTCCCCCAGGAACGTGCCGGTCAGTAATCAAAGGGAGAGCTAACTCCTTGTTAGCAAAACACGATCCCCACAGGCTTTGTTGACTGCAGAGCAGCGCATTCTTCCTCCGTGAAAATTCAGTTGCCGAGACTGAAAGGCCCTGCCTCTCACCAGGGCTTTCCCCCAAGCAATTGGAGACTGTGCCTGTTGTTGTTGTTGTTGTTTAGTCGTTTAGTCGTGTCCACCTCTTCATGACCCCATGGACCAGAGCACACCAGGCACTCCTGTCTTCCACTGCCTCCCGCAGTTTGGTCAAATTCATGCTGGTATCTTCGAGAACACTATCCAACCATCTCGTCCTCTGTCGTCCCCTTCTCCTTGTGCCCTCCATCTCTCCCAACATCAGGGTCTTTTCCAGGGAGTCTTCTCTTCTCATGAGGTGGCCAAAGTCTTGGAGCCTCAGCTTCAGGGTCTGTCCTTCCAGTGAGCACTCAGGGCTGATTTCCTTCAGAATGGATAGGTTTGATCTTCTTGCAGTCCATGGGACTCTCAAGAGTCTCCTCCAGCACCAGAATTCAAAAGCATCCATTCTTCGGCGATCAGCCTTCTTGATGGTCCAGCTCTCACTTCCATACATCACTACTGGGAAAACCATAGCTTTAACTATACAGACCTTTGTTGGCAAGATGATGTCTTTGGTTTTTAAGATGCTGTCTACTGTGCCTACATGCAGCCAACCTCTCCTCCGCCCTTTTCACGCCTCTCCTGGTTCTGGGAGAAGGGGAGCTTGTCACAGCAGCAGCAGGAGGACACACCAGCCAGACACACCTCGGCCTGCCTCATCTCCAGCCTCTTGATTCTGAACTTCTTTCTGCCACAGACTCTCCCTGCTCACTAAGCCCTGTCACCCCTTTGGCCTCTGACACCTCCTCTTCCTGGTCTTCTCCCTCTGAGCACCCATCGTTGTCCCACCATCCCTCCCCGGGCTCTGAACCTCCTTCCGCCGAGGTTTCCCAACTCATTCCTATTGGCTAAACCTATTTGGTGTTTCACAACTTAATGACTAGTTGCAGGACCTTAGCCAGACCTAGCAGAGTAAACGCAGAATCCACGGAAGCATTTGGCGACTTGGCTGCAGATAGGATAGACAAAGTAGGAACCAGGAACTTGTAGTTCGGTGTTTATTATATACAGTGGACTATTTACAGGAATAGAACACAGATCTTTTGCTAGCTCTCTCTCACACGACTCACAACTCCTACACTGACACAAAGAACTCTGAACCTCTGAACTCACGAACTAACACATTCCAGTTAGTAGGCCATTAATTATCACTCCCTTGAGAGAGCTTGACCAATCAGGGAGCTGTCTCCATGACTCTGTTATCACCAGGCAGACTTACTCCTTCAGATTGCCTTCTGGCTGTCTACCAAACCTTAATTGACTCCGTGTGAGTAGCTGCACATACTCAGATTCCCAACAGTTCCTCCCACCACTCCTCAGAGTCCAACTGCTCCATGACACCAGTTCAGAGAATCTTGGGTACCCAGGACTGGGGAAGCTCACCTGAGGCTTGGAGGACCCATCACCTTAAGGCAGCTTCCTGCATCCTGACTTGGTATAAGACAGATTCATATGCCTGTACATGAAGCTGCTTTGACGTGACTTTAAAAGCCAAACAGAACTTGACAGGCGGCGCTCTGCCTCCTGGGTCGCAGCATCATAGCATTGTAGAGTTGGAAGGGACCCAAAGATTTTAATCTAGTCCAACGCCCTGCAAGGCAGGAATCGCAGCTAACAAACCCCTTTTTCTCCCAGGGATTGATTGCAGCCCACGATCAATTCAAGTCCACCCTTCCCGACGCGGACAAGGAGCGTGAGGCCATCCTGGGTATCCAGAGCGAAGCGCAGAAGATTGCAGACTACAACAACATAAAGCTCTCCGGGAACAACCCGTACACTTCGGTCACTCCGCAGATCATCAACTCCAAGTGGGAAAGGGTGCGTGGAGATGTCTGGATGGTGTCACGAATCCAGGCAGAGTCCTGGAGGGAGATGGGGGGCGAGAGAAGACGCCCAGCTGAAATGGCCCACGGCCAGTTCGGCTGGTGGGAGACACTGGGGGCTGACGACCCAACTCTTTTTGTTCTCGTTGGAGCAGGTCCAGCAGCTGGTGCCAAAGAGGGACCACGCCCTGCAAGACGAACAGAGCAAGCAGCAGTCCAATGAACATCTGCGCCGGCAGTTTGCTAGCCAGGCCAACATCGTGGGGCCTTGGATCCAGACCAAAATGGAGGTGAGGGGGCTCGGCCCGCTGCTCCCAGCTTGCCCCACAGGAGAATTTGGAGAGGTGCAGAGAGGAGAGATTTCCGTTTCGTTCCATTTTCACTATCAAATGGTTACACCGCCTTTCTTGTAAACACAAGGCAGCTTACAAGCCTGCAAGATAGACAGCAAAGATCACACGCCTAATAGCAATCTCATCCAATTCTTTAAAAAGTCATCATAAAAGCATAAGTTAAAAATAAACAACTTAGATAAAGCAATATTCATTAGGCCATTAGAATACAGTGGTACCTCTGGTTGCGAACAGGATCCGTTCCGGAGGCCCGTTCGCAACCTGAAAGGAATGCAATCCTCGTCTGTGCGTGCGGGGGTCACAATTTGCCGCTTCTGCGCATGTGCATGACGTCATTTTGCGCGTCTGCGCGAGCGGCGAAACCCGGAAGTAACCCTTTCCAGTACTTCTGGGTCGCCGTGGGATGCAACCTGAAAACGCTCCACCTGAAGCAAACGCAACATGAGGTATGACTGTATAACAATAAACAGTTAATTTAAATACCAGCAAATAATAATTAAGCATTTTACACTTATCAGTTAGAATAAAGAATTACTAAGGTGTAACCACAGAGCCTAGGGCTTGCCGATCAGAAGGTTGGCAGTCGGGGTGAGCTCCCGTTGCTCGGTCCCTGCTCCTGCCAACCTAGCAGTTCAAAAGCACACCAGTGCAAGTAGATAAATAGGTACCACTCTGGCGGGAAGGTAAACGGCGTTTCTGTGCGCTGCTCTGGTTCGCCAGAAGCGGCTTAGTCCTGCTGGCACATGACCCGGAAGCTGTACGCCGGCTCCCTCAGCCAGTAAAGCGAGATGAGCGCCGCAACCCCAGAGTCGGCCACAACTGGACCTAATGGTCAGGGGTCCCTTTACCTTTACCTTTTAACCAATAAAAATAAGGGCAGGACACTGCATAAAATAACCATGAAACCAGCATCAAATTGAGAAGCGAGGGCACACAGATGACGAAATTGTTTTTTGAAAATATCCCTGAACTCCTCCTCTCTTCCCAGCTGCTTTTGCTGTTCTCATAGTCACGGTCTGGGAAAGGCTCTCAGGTTCTGGAGGGTGGGGCAAGGCAGGTGGAAAAAGCTGCAGCTCTAGAGCATTGGTACAGCGTAAGAGCCAACAGTGAGATGTGTGAGCCAGGAATCGCCCATCTCTCACCACGGGCTCTGTTGCTCTGAGAGCCTTTTGGGCTGGTGTAGCGGATTTGGAGTATAATACTAGCTATGCCCACTGCTTGAATTAGGGACAGGTCTAAAAGCCAGGCGGTCAAGCTAGTTCTGGGCAGGATCTCTGCTTGCCCGGCCTGTTTGCCCTGACACGGCTCCACCTTCTTCTCTCCCCCCTCTGCCAGGAGATCGGGCGCATCTCCATCGAGATGAACGGGACCCTAGAGGACCAGCTGGACCACCTGAAGCTGTATGAGCAGAGCATCGTGGATTACAAGCCCAACATCGACCTCTTGGAGCAGCAGCACCAGCTCATCCAAGAGGCCCTCATCTTCGACAACAAGCACACCAACTTCACCATGGAGGTGAGGGCAGCGTGGGGACGCTCTCGGCCAGCTAGCCAGACAACCGGCCGCTCTCGTGTTTTTTTTCTGGCAGTTTGCATGCTGGGGAAATGGGAGTCAGGGAACAGGCCTTGCAAAACTGATACAGTGGTACCTCGGTCCTCGGAACGTCTCCGTTGACAAACGTTTCGGAACCCAAGTGCAACGAAAACTCGGAAGCAAATGCTTCCGTTTATGAACGCGCCTTGGAAATTGAACAGCTTCCACTGCGTGCTTTTCAATTTTCTCAACTGAATCTGCAGACAGCCCTTTGCGCCTTGGTTTTCGGACATTTCAGAACTTGAACGGTCTTCCGGAATGGATTTACGTTCGAGAACCGAAGTACCACTGTAGCTGCTTTTTCAAAGAAGTAACTCACTCTACATGAGGCTGACCCAGAAACCCCAGCGGGTGCAGAATGCCATGGCGAGGCTCCTTACGGGGTCATCGCCGCGGGATCACATTCACCCAGTGCTATACCAGCTGCACTGGCTCCCGGTGGAGTACAGGATCAGGTTTAAGGTGCTGGTTTTAACCTTTAAAGCCCTATACGGCCTAGGACCCTCGTACCTACGGGACCGCCTCTCCTGGTATGTCCCACGGAGGACCTTATAGTCTTCAAACAAAAACATCTTGGAGGTCCCAGGCCACAGAGAGGTCAGGCTGGCCTAAACCAGAGCCAGGGCTTTTTCGGCCGTGGCCCCGATCTGGTGAAACGCTCTGTCACAAGAGACTAGGGCCCTGCGGGACTTGACATCTTTCCGCAGGGCCTGCAAGACAGAGCTGTTCCACCAGGCCTTTGGCCAAGGCACAGTCTGACCCCCTCCTTTGGTAATCCTCACAGAACTCTAGCCCAATGGTTGCCATGAATTTGATTTTTGATTTGATTTTAAAATGAATTGATTTTAGAAAGCTGTGTTATTTTTATTGCTGTTAGCCACTCTGAGCCCGGCTTCAGCTGGGGAGGGCGGGATATAAATAAAAAATTATTATTATTATTTTTCAAAGAATAAATGGCACAGACAACAATGATAAAGTACTTTAGTCGAAGCCATTTGGAAACGTATAGGAAGCGTCTCAAGCCCAGGGAGAGTTTCCAGGGCTGGCTGCCGGTTTTAGGGTTTCGGGCCTGCACCAGCCGGGCTCGTCTTCCTCGGCCCTTTTGCTGAGTGGGGAAGGCTTTGATTCGGGGGTTTCTGCCTAGTTCTTTACAAAGCAACCCTTGTTGGGCTGGGGGAACCCTCTGCCCTCTACCAGATCTTAGCCCCTGATAGGTCCCAGGTGCAGATTTCGGCTTTGAAGAAGGCAGTACACCGAAGCGGGTGACTTATTCAGCCTTGCCTCTTCCCCTCCCGCCCCGAACTCTTTGTTCCCAGCATATCCGTGTCGGGTGGGAACAACTCCTCACCACCACAGCCCGGACCAGCAACGAGGTGGAGAACCAAATCTTGACCCGGGACGCCAAGGGGATCAGCCAGGAGCAGATGCAGGAGTTCCGGGCCTCCTTCAACCACTTCGATAAGGTAACCTGAGTTTGGCGCAGGGCTGGGGCCTCGCCATGGAGCAGCCGGAAAGTCAATTTTGGATGCAGAAGAGTCTGCCCTCTGTGTGTCTGTTTGTGCGTGTGCGTATGACTTTCCTGCCTCTGATCACTAAAATAAAGAATGAAAGAGAGGAAACCCCTGCCCACAGGAAAGGGTTCGTTCCTCAGATTGAAAAATGCCAGAGGCTGGCACCAGTTGGAGGGTCCTCTGAGCTCAGCCTTGTAGCGCTGCCATGAGTGCTTTTGTTTACCTTAATTTCCAGGCCATGCTTGTTCTTCATGGTTTATATTTTTATTCCACCTCTTCTTTCAAAGGGCTCGGGGTAGTTGCAGTCCCCTCCTTGTATTTTATCACCACCAACTCTGTGAGGTAGGCCCGGCTGAGACAGTAGCTGCCAGCTCTCAGGGTGACTCTGCTTGCTCTTGGCAGAATTTTTTTAAAAGGGTTGAACGGTTTGGCGCTCAAGCTTCCAGCCGCTTTTCTGCCACCCAAATCAGACCTGTTCAATTTGTGTCCAGAGGAAACTGGCCAGGCCTTTTGTTGGCATCTGTCTGTCTTGAGAGACAACGGAGTTTGCTTCCAGGGGTGAAGTCAAACTGCTGCGTTAGCAGCACCCAAGTGGCCTCCTCTGGGGCACAAGCCTGGGCGGTGTGTCTCGAGGTCCTGGGCTCCTGGACGACAAGACACACACACACACACCGGACTCGCTGATGTGGTCCCAAGGAAAGCAGAGCAAGACGTTTGGCACCAGCTTGGCTGCAGGAGTTGCCGGAAGGAGGCGTAGAAGACGCCATCCAACCGTCTTAGGGATTTGTGCAGGGTTTCCTCCCAAGCCTTCCTCCCAGAACGTTTGCAAGCACGAAGTGTTGGTGCTGACCTTTAAAGCCCTAAATGGCCTCGGTCCAGTATACCTGAAGGAGCGTCTCCATCCCCATTGTTCAGCCCGGACACTGAGGTCCAGTGCCGAGGGCCTTCTGGCGGTTCCCTCACTGCGAGAAGCCAAGCTACAGGGAACCAGGCAGAGGGCCTTCTCGGTGGTGGCGCCCACCCTGTGGAACACCCCCCCCCAATCAGATGTCAAAGAGAACAACAACTACCAGACTTTTAGAAGACATCTGAAGGCAGCCCTGTTTAGGGAAGCTTTTAATGTTTGATGTATTACTGCATTTTAATGTTTGGTTGGGGGCCGCCCAGGGTGGCTGGGGCCAGATGGGCGGGGTATAAATGGTAAATTATTATTATTATTATTATTATTTTCTCCCAAAGATGTCCTGCAAAGCAGCAGAGGTTTAAGCTCAGAGTTTTCCTTCTCCTAGTTGGACTCCCTTCCCAGGTTGACAACCCCCCATAGAAGCCAGTGTTCATTTTTTCACGGCTTGTTGCCGCACGTCTGATCAGAACAGGTGGTGTTGTGAAAGTCCTGTCTCTTTTGAGCCCCGCAGCCAGGTCCTTGAAGCAGGAGACCCAAAGGCTCTTCTTCTTCTTCCCCTCCTCCTCTGCCCACTTCCTGGGCCTGCGGGCTGGAGCTCCCCCCGAGAGCATCCACGAGAGTGCTGGAACTAACGCCGTGTCTTTTCCCCTTCCCCCCTCCCTTGTCGTGTGCACGTGGGCTCTCCCGCCCTCCTCCCCACCCCCCTCAAATGTGCATGCCGCGCCCTCCGCCCCTCCCTGCGCGTGGCCCGGCGGCAGGACCACGGCGGCTCCCTGGGACCCGAAGAGTTCAAAGCTTGCCTCATCAGCTTGGGATACGATGTGGAGAATGACCGACAGGTACCCGATGCCCGTTAAAAACCGCGCAGCCGCTCGGCGATCTTGCAGTTAACCTGATCTCCTTTCTCTCTTCCTTCACCACGTTCGTTTCTCCCCACCATCAAACACCCACTTTTCTTCTTCCTCCTCCTCCTGCCGCCTTGTCGTCGCCGTGTTTCGTGTATCCGATTTGTGCGCCCGTGTCTCCCCCCCACTTCCCCTGTTGTCTGTTTACGTGGCATCTCGATGGCTTCTCCTGACTGATGTTCTCTCTTTCTGTGTCTCTTTCCTCCGTGGGGCTCTTCGGCCCTCTCTTCCCTTTCCATCTTTGCATGCCTCCTCCATCTGCGTTCTCTCCCTCTCCCTCCCTTCGCCTGTCGGCCTCTGGGAATAGAAGCGCACAGGCAGCATGGACACAGACGACTACCGAGCCCTGCTTATCTCCACGGGATACAGCCTGGTACGCTCCGCTCTCTGCTTTCCCCCCACTTTTCTTCCTCGCTCTGTCCTCCATGCCGACGGCAGCAGCTGGCAACAGCCGAAATGCTGCATCTGTCCGTTGCGTGGCCGGCCCTCGCCGTGGGCAGTGTCCTTCCGCCTTGGGTACCCAGGCCTTGCTGAACTCCAGCTCCCATCATCCCCTGCCAGCTTAGCCGGGGATTATGGGAGTTGTGGTCCAGGCCGAAGAACACGGGCCTAGGGTGTGAGTCGGAACGTGATGTCAAGTCGGGTCAAGGGTCGGGGGGCTGTGCTTATGGCCAAGTGGTTTGCAAGACAAGGCGGAGGAGGGTGGGAAATTCAGGGTTACTGGTGGGTGGGCATTTGCTAGGGCTGCTGGGAGTCACAGGTGGGGAGAGGGTGCTGTTGCTTGTGGGCTGTCCATTGGGGGTGTTTGTTTGGCCACTATAGGACAGGTTGCCAGATTAGATGAATCCCTGGCAGATCCCTCCCTTCTGTGAATTGGCAGGATGGGGGAGTTCCCTTTGGTTGAGAGGGGAGGGCTATGGAGGGACGACTTTGTATAAAATAAACATGGAGGGGATCAGAAATCCAGCAGGCACCACCCCTACTAAGTTTCAGGCACCTGGTTAAGATGGTTTTATTCCGGGAGGTCGGGTCAAGGGTCAGGGCTGTGCTTACGGCCAAGTGGTTTGCAAGAAAAGGCGGATGAGGGTGGGAAATTCAGGGTTACTGGTGGGTGGGCATTTGCTAGGGCTGCTGGGAGTCACAGGTGGGGAGATGGTGCTGTTCCAATGTTTTCATTCTCCAACATTTTAAATTTTGGGCACAGCTGTGCCGTACATTTGAAACATGTGGCTTCCACCAAAGGATGCTGGGAAGTGCCGTTTGCCCTCCACAGAGCCACGCTCCCAAGTACCCAAGTACAAACTACAGTTCCCACAATTCTTTGGGGGAAAGCCGTGTGCTTTGAATGTGCTTCAGGTAAACATAACAGTGTCGGTGTATGGTACGTTTTTATTCTCCGATGGCCACTTTGAGACCCATATAAAGTGAAAAGCGGGGTATAGATTTCCAATAAGTAGTGTAGAGGAAGCTGCTTTTGTGCCAGGTTTGACTTGTTTACCCATCTAGCTCTGCCTTCTCCAACGTGGTGCCCTCCTTCATCGCTGGCCCTCTGGAGGGCACTAGGTTGGGGTCGGCTGATTGAGCCCAGCATTGCCTGCCGAGGCTGCCAGCCGCTCTCCCAAGATCTAAGGCAGAGAGAAGCTCTTCCCCATTTCCTGCTATTGGTCTTTTTTCTTTTTAACTGGAGATGGGAGGGACCGGAGACCTTCTGCATGCCAAGCGGGTGACCTGCTGCCCTTCTATGGCTCCTCCCTAGTATAATGCTGCAATCACAGGAGATTCAAATGGAAATTAAGCCTAGGAAACCTTAAGCAAGAAAGGTTTGAGCCAAGTTTGTCTGGGTGTAGTTCCAAACTCCGCAGAACTCCCACCAGTCCAAATTCGGACAGCCACTTTGACACAGAATAGGGGGGACTTCTTTAAAGCCAAGCCTTGAGGCCGCAACTGAGTTTTCCAGCAAACATGTCAGAGCCATCAAACGGACTCAGCTGTTTCGCTGCCATTTTGCCAGGAGACTCAAATGACCTCCTTTCTCTCACCCCCACCCCTGCCTCGCCAGGGAGATGCGGAATTCAACCGGATCATGAGTGTCGTGGACCCCAACAACAGCGGAGTGGTGACTTTCCAAGCCTTCATCGATTTCATGTCCCGGGAGACCACGGACACGGATACGGCCGACCAGGTCATTGCCTCCTTCAAGGTCCTGGCTGGAGACAAGGTGAGTTCAACAAGGGAGGGGGCTGGGTAAAGGGTATAAGGTGCTGGTTTTGACCTTTAAAGCCCTTCACGGCCTAGGACCCTCGCACCTACGGGACCGCCTCTCCCGGTATGTCCCACGGAGGACCTTAAGGTCCATATATAGCAACACCCTAGTGGTCCCGGGCCCTAAGGAAGTTAGATTAGCCTCAACCAGAGGCAGGGCCTTTTCAACACTGGCCCCGGTCTGGTGGAACGCTCTGCCTCATGAGACCAGGACCCTGCGGGATCTGATTTCTTTCCGCAGGGCCTGTAAGACAGAGTTGTTCCACCTGGCCTTTGGCTTAGAGCCAATTTGATTCCCTCCCCCTCTTTCTTTTTCCTTTCTCCTCCTGTGATGAGGCTGCATTTTAATATTTTAATGTTTCAATATTTTAATGTTGTATTTTAATGTTGTTTTTAAGTTGTATCCATTCAACTTGTTTTTATTATTGCTTGTTAGCCGCCCTGAGCCCGGCCTTGGCTGGGGAGGGCGGGGTATAAATAAAAATTATTATTATGAAACAAGCAAAAAAAATAAAATTCTAGCTGTTGTGGCTGAAAAGACATTGCTGAGAGTGCTTGAATCTCAGAAGCCAGAGGAAGAACAGAGTCAGTTTTCTAAGCATTTTGGGCTGGGGGCTTCAGGAATTCCTTAGCCCTCTCAAAGGCTAAGTAAGGGAGATCATGCAGATTTGTGCAAGCTTTAGCCTGATTTCAGGACAGAATATGACTTCTCTCGGTGCAGAATTTAGAAAACTTTTTTAAAGTTCAGAGAGCGTAGTCTCCCAAGACATTTTTTTTGCCTTGAGATGAGTTGGGGGGGGCAGATCTGCTCGTACGTTTCAAACACATTCCACACCGCATTTGAAGCACGCGACTTTCCCCCACGCCCGCCCAAGAATCTGGGAACTCACAGCTAAAATAAGGAATCCGAAAGACAAAATATCTGGGGAAGAACGGAGACCCTTTTTAGTTTATATAAGAACACAATACAGCGAAATAAAATTTCATACAGGTTTTCCCTTGTGAGCAATGGAAAGAAAATAGAAAAGATTGCAATATAGGATTTAGGTGAATGGATAAGGTTAATAGGTTGGACAGGCAGCAGGGAGGCGAGGGAATCAGACCATCACGAGTTAAGGACGGGAAGTTGCCAGGATAAATAGATTTTGATGTAAATTGTATGTTATATGATCTTAACGTACAGTGGTACCTCGGGTTACATGCGCTTCAGGTTACAGACTCCGCTAACCCAGAAATAGTGCTTCAGGTTAAGAACTTTGCTTTAGGATAAGAACAGAAATCATGCTCCGGCGGCACAGCAGCAGCAGGAGCCTCCATTAGCTAAAGTGGTGCTTCAGGTTAAGAACAGTTTCAGGTTAAGAACGGACCTCCGGAACGAATTAAGTACTTAACCCGAGGTACCACTGTAAATCAATGTAAAATAATAAACTTAAAATATATATATATATCCTGGGAGCTGTAGCTTCGCCCTCGCAGAGCTACAACTCCCAGCACCCTTAAACTACAGTTCCTAAGATTCTGCAGGGAGGGGAAGCCATGTGCTTTAAATCGATGTGCTGCAAATCGATGGAGTTTGCTGCAAATATTGGCTTGGGACCGCAAAAAACCACGTTGTGTTATCCCAATGTTCCTGATCCGCCACCCGGTGGGCGCAACCTCATGCAGGCCTCTTTTCTTCTCTCTCCCCCCCCCCATCCCTGACGCAGAACTACATCACGGCAGAGGAGCTTCGGCGAGAGCTCCCCCCCGACCAGGCCGAGTACTGCATCGCGCGCATGGCACCTTACCAGGGGCCCGATGCCATCCCGGGTGCCCTCGACTACAAGTCCTTCTCCACGGCGCTTTACGGCGAGAGTGACCTGTGAGGCTAGAGCCGGAGGCAGCGGCGGCAACAGCAAGCGCTGGCGCTTTTTGGGGAGGGAGGGTGGGGCGACGCTCTTGATTTTCCCCCATTCACACAAACACACACACACACAAACACAGCAATGGGAAGGTTGTCTTTCTCTTTCCTTCTCTCTCTCTCTTTCACTTTCCGAGGACAGAAAGCTGCCTCCACGCTGGGCGACCCCTGGGAGCTGGCCTGGGCCACCCCCTCCCCACCCCCTTCTCCCCACCCCATCCCCATTGCGCACTCGACGGACACTATGCAACAGTTCCAAGTCTTTCCCCCAAAACTCTGAGCAGCGGAGGAGCTCGGTGTGGCTCCTTGCTTCCCGGGGGAGGAAGGAAGAGTTCGGCCCCAAGGCCTTACCAGCAAAGGCCATGAAGCATCCCGGCCACCACCGCCGCGGTTCAGATGGCTATTATTGTTCTATATAGATGACATTCCGGTTTCCCTCCTTCTACTGATCTTAATTGGGCCCAGAGTGGGATGGAGAGTTCTACTGTCGACTGGCATATACAGGGCCCTCCCTCCATCTCTTCTCAGGCGCTGCCTTTTAATTAATGTGTCTGGGGTGCCCCCAAGCCACCCTCGGTCCGCGGCGCATCAAAACCCAACACCTTCAGGATCTGGAGGGGCTGCTGAGACCCACTTCCTTGCTTTCCTCTCTGACACAGAACCTAGATACCTCATTCCGGACCTTTCCGCTCGCTGCGCTAGGCAGTTTTGGGGCCTAGCCTGTGCCTCTCGCCCCCCAACCCAGCGTCGCACCTCCGACCGGCTCTTCCCCCCGTTAGGGGCGAGAGGAGGAGGAGGTTGGGGGCCCCCTTCAAGCGTCGAGGTCCAAACTCGCGGTTTCTGCCCAGGCGGTTTGCTTTGACTGGGAAGCAGAGTTGGGTCTGTACAGCCAGTCCTAGGCAGCTCCTTTAAGCAGTGCCCTCGTTCACGGCCACCCAAGCTCTCCGTGGCACACGCTTAGTTTGACATCCGCGGTTTGCCCTTCACCTGCTGGAAGAAATAGGTTGCCTTCCCATTCGGGGCTAGTTGGGAGGGCTTGCGCCTGGCAAGGGCGTATTGGCCCTTTCCCATTCCGCAGACTGAGCACGCGAGTGTTCAAAGAGGCAGTGCCTCTCTCCTCAAATCCGTCGCAGCTTCTTCCCCGACGCTCGCAGGAGAAGCAAAACCTTTGCGGAACGGATATCCCCACCCCAGTCGGGCCCTTTCTCCTCTTTTTTCTCCCACCCTAGTCTCCGGTTTTATAAATCCTCCCGTCCTTCTCTGCCCCATACCATCAGGTCGCGGCAACACCCCCCCCCAGCCGCTTTTGTAACAGAGTTTGGGAATAACACAATCTCAGCAATACTGACGCCCGTTTTGAGGCCGAAACGTGAAAACGGTTCGTTTTCTCGCGCGAAGTGCGCCCAGAGGTGTCTTGAGGAGGGGCTTTAACTTTCTCCGGGAGGGGGGAGAGGTGCTAGGAGTCGAGCATCAGTCTTAAAAAGCAGGCCGATCCGGAACGGATTTGTCTCGTTTCCCCCTTTCTCGACACCCCTTGTTTCACACCCGAGGGTGGTTTTTTGGGTGAGGGTGAGAAAAGTGAAATTGTGGGTAAGGTGACCCCCAAGGCGGAGGGCAGGGGGAATCGCAAATAACTACAGGTGCTTTCAGAGGGAACTTTTGAGGGGTGTCTGAGAAGGAGGGGGGAGCCCCAAGACCGTGCTTCCCAGCATCCTCTGGGGGTGATCCTTGCAAGGTAGCGAAACTTTGGCTGCTCCCTCTTCTCCCCCCGCAGGGCAGGAGCAACTTGCTCATTCAGTCTTCCTCTCTCTCTCTCTCGCCTCGCTCTGAACAACCCATAAAAATAAAAAATCCATTGCTTCACGCTTATATATATATATATATATTATATATATATCTATTTTTTTGTAATTTCTTCATCATGGTGCAGGGTTTTCTGAGGACCAAATCTAAAACGAAAGAGAACCGTGCAGAGATCTTTTTTTAAAAAAAGAAAGAGAGAAACTAAAAACACAGCAAACTGTTGCAATTTAATAACGTCCAGATTTATTATTATTAAATATATATATACATCTAGCATCGTATATTGCCGAAGGGTGTGTTTGGGTTTGTTTGTTCAGGTTTTTTTTTTTTTGTCTTTGTCTTTTTCCTTCATCATGTAATTAAAAAGGTTATGGCTGACCGTAGCACTGGGGGCGGGCGTGGGGAACCAGTAACATTCCTACACCTTTTTTATTTTTTTTGGTCACCCATCTTTTTCGTTTTGGTTCTCTTCCTTTCTTTTTGTCGTCGAAGAAGGTTTAGCTTATTTTATTGTGTTCGCTCCTGAATGCCTGCCCTCTGCAGGGTTCGGGCAGTTCAGCCAATAGGGAGTAGCTGGCTTCTGTCTGCCTCTGTTCTACAAACTTCCGAGCTTTCCGGGGAAAACCAGCCCTCCTCCCACTTGGGAACAAGACAATAAAATGTAATATTTTTAAGGATGATTTCTCTGTTGTCGTTCTTTCCAGTACGTTTCCGAGCACAATTCAAAGTGTTGGTGCTGACCTTTAAAGCCCTAAACAGCCTCAAAGATATACCTGAAGGAGCGCCTCCACCCCCATCGTTCTGCCCGGACACTGAGGTCCAGCGCCAAGGGCCTTCTGGCGGTTCCCTCACTGCGAGAAGTGAGGTTACAGGGAACCAGTCAGAGGGCCTTCTCGGTGGTGGCATCTGAAGGCAGCCTTGTTTAGGGAAGCTTTTAATATTTAACGCTGTATTGTTTTTAATACTTGATTGGGAGCCGCCCAGAGTGGCTGGGGAAACTCAGCCAGATGGGCGGGGTATAAATAATAAATTATTATTATTATTATTATTATTATTATTATTATTTCCCACCGCTTCCCTCCTTTACTCATTTGCCTCTCCATCCCTGTTCCTTTACCGCCATGTGCGAATTCACACAAAGCTGCCTGGTGCAGTTGGAAGACTTGGCGCATTACGGGGTCCCGGCCCAACCGTTAGCATTTATATGCCGGCTTCTCGCAAAAGATCGGGGCAGAGTCACACAAATCCTTTAAAAGTAACGCAGGGGAGTTAAAATGGCTGGCTGCTCTGAGGAAATTTCCAGGAAAAAAGCACACCAAGAACTCAGGCCAATATAAGTTTCAATAGTGGGAATGGTTCCTACTCGCAAATCAGTAGTCAGTTGTAACAAAAAGTAATCCATTCAAAAGTATGTGTTCTGACAAGGATTACAAACTCAAATAGAGATTACAGACTCAAACTCATAAGGATATGTATAACACAATGATTTGTTACGGTATTAAAGATCTGAGTTTATGAGTAGAGATAAGTTCATGTTAGTCCATAGTCAGATTTGAAGCGAAGATCTTAGTTTCAATCGTTGAACAGAAGTCAATTATGGATCAGAAACCAGGAGAGGGCGATTGAAACTAAGATCTTCGCGTCAAATCTGACTATGGACTAACATGAACTTATCACTTTTCGCTGTCTCTGCCACATGATCATCCACAAATAAGGACTTCAGAGACAAAATCCAGTTTTAGCCTCAACTTAAGGCATTTGGAGGTCAGTGACCGGAAAAGAAATTCCACAGCTAGTATAAACTCTTGTCTAGGAGGCAGTTATTGCCGTCCATGTCTGTCACAAACCATTTCCCCCTCTGCTGAGAAGTATTGGATCTGTTAAGCTTTCTCTCTAGCTCAACACATTCTCTGAAACACTAAAAAGGCAAGCATTAGATGCTTTGTGTGTGTGCTTTGCAGCCTAGGATAATGATAAATCTTGCTGTTTATTAACGTTTTCCTACAAGAAAGTTGCAACCATTGTGTGGTTCATCTCTGGCCGGGAGCCGTCTCTAACCACTCCCTGACAAAGTACAATGAGGATTTTGTGAGGTTTCTTAACAGTTCGGTTTTCCAGATGTGTATTTCGGTTTTTCATATGCATATTTTGCAGGTTTCTGGTACTGAACCAATAGCAGCCCCCAATGCAGCAGAGCAATGGGAATGTGGGTTGTGGAGAATTGGCGACCCACATTTTGGCAAAGAAGTCAGAAGGGATTAGGACTTGACCTAAAATGGTTACTTTTTTGGGCGGCGGGAATTGCGGCAAGAAAAAAATCCACTACCCATTCCTGCAATGTGGAAATCAAAGATGTAACAGAGAATTGGCTGTACAACAGACATACAAAAATAGCATCTTTGACACAAAGATGGCAGCTTTTGTGATCTAGAAATAATGTGGCCTCTTTGTTTTGCTGCTGTTCCTTCCTGGTTCTCCGGATCCTGCACCTCCCAGGCATCCCATTTTATCTCCCTCCCGGTAAGGACATCTCTGGGTGTTAGGAAGACATTGATATCATGGCACAAGATCTCATGGGTTCTGTTTCCCGTAGTCCACAAAGCATCACACAAACCCCATTCTGTTCTCTGTATCGGAGAAGAGAGAGGTTTGTCTCCCTCTCGCATAATACAACTCAGGGACGTGCAGTACAGCTGAATGTTGCAAGATTTGGAACAGACAAAAGAAAGCCACCGGAGCAAATTACTTTAAACGAGGATGAGAAATTAATGGAGGACTACAGCTATGGTTAGGGACGCGAGTGGCGCTGTGGGTTAAACCGCAGAGCCTAGGACTTGCCAATCAGAAAGTTGGCAGTTCGAATCCCCGCGACAGGCTGAGCTCCCGTTGCTCGGTCCCTGCTCCTGCCAACCTAGCAGTTCGAAAGCACGTCAAAGTGCAAGTAGATAAATAGGTACCGCTCCGACGGGAAGGTAAACGGCTGTAACCCAAGGTATTACTGTATGTATATTTCATTGATAATTATTCAGTATGTACCTCTTTATATAGGGACATGGGTGGCGCTGTGGTCTAAACCACAGAGCCTAGTACTTGCCGATCAGAAGGTCGGCAGTTCGAATCCCCGTGACGGGGTGAGCTCCCGTTGCTCAGTCCCTGCTCCTGCCAACCTAGCAGTTCGAAAGGTCCTCAAAGTGCAAGTAGATAAATAGGTACCACTCCGGCGGGAAGGTAAATGGCATTTCCTTGCGCTGCTCTGGTTCGCCAGAAGCGGCTTAGTCATGCTGGCCACATGACCCAGAAGCTGTACGCCGGCTCCCTCAGCCAATAAAGTGAGATGAGCGCCACAACCCCAAAGTCGGTCACGATTGGACCTAATGGTCAGGGGTCCTTTTACCTTTACCTTTACAGCTATGGTTCTCGCTTGCAGGCTTCCACGATGCTGGATTAGATGGGCATTTGGCTACTCTTCCGTTCTCCCTTTCCTCTGCTCCTTGCTCAAGTAATTTCATATTTTTTCGCACCTGCAGAAAAAGCAAACTCTGCAAAACACGACAGAAGCCCTGTTTGGTTTGCATAATTTATTCTCGCCCCGGGATATCATTCTGCTCACATCAAGGTGTGCCCCTTTATTTTTTGAGAGGGCTCAGCGCTCGCCCTGCACCCGGCGCCCTCCTAACGTGCGTAGCGTCCCATGCCCAATGTTGGCAGGATGCGGCCCCTTGGTGCTCTGTTGCCCTCCCAGCTGACGGCCACGTTCTGGAGCTTGACTTCCCCGTCGACCTCCAGGAAGCGGATGCTCTTTGGCGAGAGGCGGTGGCGGAACTCGCAAAGGGAAATATCTTTCTCCAGGATCTGGCAAAGAAACGGAAAAAGGCATGTCAAGAAGGGTTGGAAGATAAAACTCCCAACTCGGACGGACATGAGAATCCCGTATGGTTTGATGAGTGGCGGCTCTCCTGTTTAGATATTTGGGGACCTCAATACTCTGTTAGCTACACAGGCTTCTGTGAAAGGCTTTGGAGCTTGTTCGCTCTGGTTTACTGTTGCTCTTCCAACTAGCTCTCTGCAAGATTTCACTGTTCCTTCCTAGGAACCGGTAGTTAAAGGTAGACTGCGCCCACCCCTTGGAGGCTCCACTCAGCTCAGGTGTAGGGAACCTGTGGCCCTCCAGATATTGTGGGACTCTTAATACCCCATTGGCTGTGCTGAGTGGGGCTGATGCGATTTAAAGCCCAACAACCTGAGCAGAGCCAGAGAGTCTTCTGAACATGCCTTTGATTGACAAACCCACTAATTTTTCTAACTGGTTTAAAAGGCACTTAAGTTAGTTCCACAGGGACGCGGGTAGCGCTGTGGGTTAAACCACAGAGCCTAGGACTTGCCGATCAGAAGGTTGGTGGTTTGAATCCCCGCGACGGGGTGAGCTCCCGTTGCTCGGTCCCTGCTCCTGCCAACCTAGCAGTTCAAAAGCACCTCAAAGTGCAAGTAGATAAATAGGTACCACTCCGGCGGGAAGGTAAACAGTGTTTCTGTGCGCGGCTCTGGTTCGCCAGAAGCGGCTTTGTCATGCTGGTGACATGACCCGGAAGCTGTACGCCGGCTCCTTCGGCCAATAAAGCGAGATGAGCGCCGCAACCCCAGAGTTGGTCATGACTGGACCTAATGGTCAGGGGTCCCTTTACCTAAGTTAGTTCCACAAGTTTCTCATGCTTGGCTTGGAGAAATACTGGTTTTTTTCACCTGCCCTCAATGTACAGGCTACTCAAGCGGACCTTAGGGAGTCTAGTTACTCTGAAAGAGGATGAGTGCCATGTTCTCTCTGCTATGTCCATATTGATTGATTGATTGATTGATTGATTGATTGATTGATTGAAACTCTTAGGTTAGCGCTTTTTATTTAGTAGGACATCTTTATCTATGTGGGGCTGCCCTTGAGACTGACCCAGAAACTCCAGCGGGTGCAGCATTACGCGGCGAGACTCCTTATGGGGTCCTCGCCATGGGATCACATTCACCCGGTGCTATACCAGCTGCACTGGCTCCCGGTGGAGTGCAGAATCAGGTTTAAGGTGCTGGTTTTAACCTTAAAGCCCTATAGGGCCTAGGACCCTCGTACCTACAGGACCGCCTCTCCTGGTATGTCCCACGGAGGACCTTACGGTCTTCAAACAAAAACATCTTGGAGGTCCCAGGCCACAGGGAGGTTAGGCTGGCCTCAACTGGAGCCAGGGCTTTTTCGGCTGTGGCCCTGATCTGGTGGAACGCTCTGTCACAAGAGACTAGGGGCCTGTGGGACTTGACATCTTTCCGCAGGGCCTGCAAGACAGAGCTGTTCCACCAGGCCTTTGGCCAAGGCACAGTCTGACCCCATCCTTTGGTAATCCTCACAGAACTCTAGCCCAATGGTTGCCATTAATTTGACTCTGAATTGATTTTAGAATGTATTTCAATGAATTGACTGTGATTTTATGTAAAGGGTGCTTTTTTTACTGTTGTTAGCCACTCTGAGCCCGGCTTTTGCTGGGGAAGGTGGGATATAAATAAACTTCTTCTTCTTCTTATTATTATTATTATTATTACTATTAAAAGTGGAAGGAGTGAGTTTCAAGTCCGTCAGTGAGCAACGCAATCTGTTCGCAGAGAGTGATGAGGAAAGTGGAGAGCAAACTAAGAGCAACAA